AATCTACAGAGCGGGTGGTGATGTGCCGCTGGCTCTGCCGCACGCTGGGGTGAAGCACAGGCGGCCTCCCCGCCGAGCCAGGCCAGAGCACCACAGCCAGGGCCGGGAGGGCGAGGGCCCGGGGCGGGTGGCGGGGACTCAGCCGCTCCTCTCCCCTCGGCAGGCTCTCGCTGTACGATGCCGCTTGCCAGATCGCCCAGGAGATCGCTGAGAAAATCCAGGAGCGTAACCGGTACCAAAGGAGCGGGGAGAGTTCGGCCAAGGTACTCTGCTGCCGACGGCGCCGGGGTTGTGAGCGTGGCTATTTTTAGCTAGGTTTTGCTTTTAGCCGTTCTACATACTGGTTAAGCATTAAATCTGCAGGAGCCAGCTGTGTCCAGGAAGCTGTCAGTGCTGGATTTCCTCCCTTGCCGGCTGCAGAGGGATGTGGGTGCTGCCGGGGACGGCGGTCGGCCAAGCGGTGTGGCCGGGTGCGCTGAGGGGACGGGGTGCCTTTGCCCAGGGGCCGGGCCGTGCCAGGCCATCGCTGGTGCCAGCTGGCAATCTGTGGGTTGAAAGTTGTGTTTAATGGCAGGAACCTAATATTAATGGTGTGTTTTTGAAGATAGCCATAAAGAAAACAAGAATACGGTTTCTAAATTAACAGCACCTTTTCAGTGTCACAAAAATAATCTTGGATTTAACAGTAATGAATCTTTTATGCATGCACTAATGCTGGTTTTACAAAAAGAGAACAGGAGAGGCTTGCGGGAGCGTTGGGCACACGCTGCTGGCTGCCCAGGGCTGTCGCAGCCGGGACCAGAACTGTTGTCAGAGATCCTGAACCGAAAAGATGTTGGGATGCACGGCAGCTTCTGCGTACTCCGTTCTGTGTAAATATTGAATAGGTATTTTTTCCTCGCAAGGCTGGCTTGCTTCCTTTCTGTAGTGGCTGTAGATCAGATGAAATATGAATTTTTGCGGCTTTTTTTCGCTACGTTTCTAACAAACTATAAGAGCAGAGTTAAATATGAATGAGAAGCAGAAGTTGGAGCTTACCCAGGAATATGATGTTCTCTGCCTTTTCACACTTCCTGTTTAAAAAATAAAATAAAATAAAAAGATTCTCAGGAGGCTGCTTTCTTTAGGGCTAAAAGCCTCGTCCTTTCCTCGAGAAGCGGAGGAGCCTGCCTGATCGCACGCCCCAAGGATCGTGCCATTAACTTCTCCCTTGGCTGCGTTAAGATGAAAATATGTGCAAGCCCTTGAGTTAGTCTTGTATAATAACTTGCATAATTAAAACCCCACTGATGTATTTTGTAGGCTCTGCCCCTCTCTATAGCAGGGTTGTGATGCGATGCGTGATCACTGAATCTTCTTTGCCAGCCTCTTTGCTGGTAGCTTTTACAATAAAATGTCATTTTTGAAATGTTTCCTTTGAAGAAATGTTGAAGAAAACTGTGTAGGCTTTGTACAGTAATCAGTGCTTTTTAATGAATGACTCAAATTTGGCATGAATTGAAAAGAGGTTTCAGAAAGCCCAAATAAGTGGGATTTGAGAGAAATATTTTCTCTAGCTGTAGAATTGAGAGGAGCGTTTAGAGGTAGTGCTTACACTCCCTGCTTTCAGGGCAATAAAGTATCAGAAATTGTGCAGATATACACTCAAGCAATAGAAGACTAATAAAAAGATTGCTGCTTAATCCATCTGTATTTATAGAGGACAAAGTTCTCTATTTGCATCATGGCAATCTGTGATGTGTTCCAAAAAACCCCAACAAAGGGTTGTGTTAGTGTTGTTTGGAGCCCTTCTTGTACCGTGACTCTCCGAGGCTGTGTTTTATGGAAACATTACACAGTTGACTTATTTCTTCATAAAATCATTTGTTCCATGCCCTGTGTTTTCCAAGCGCAATTTCCCTTTAATCCATTAACAGTTAAAGAGGAATATTTGGCAGTGTTTGATTCTACTATAAACAAGTTTCCAACAATGAGAGAGTTGTTTTCATAACAGAAATGCATGTTGAGAAATCCACGGCCGAGCAGTCATATATTCTATGACTCCTGAATGTTTTAGCGGAGAAAAAGTCTTTGTACAATATTTCCCAGGTAGGGAGAATGTAAACAAGTTTTTATTTTTATAGTATTTTGCCATTAGCGTGGCTAAAAAAAACTTATTGCTTATTGCTGAGTAAAAAATAGAGCATAAAATTTAAAATGGAAAAAAAAAAAAAGCCCTGTAGGGACAGA